TTTTTTTTTTTTTTTTTTTTTTTTGTGAACATGTCCAAGAGCGATCATTCCACGTGTGCTATTTGCCTTGGTTAATCTCATATGGAAAAGGAATTAGTGTAGTCAACAAAAAAGTGATGACCTGAGTGGGTGATTCCAAAGACAGATAGATGCAGATACACACACATAATACATGGGTGCATTATGCACAGTAAGTGTTTTCACTAAAGATCATTGCCCTCGTCAGGCCCTTTGATTTTGCTGAAGAATAAGAGGTGGACCCCACTGGCTGGTGGTATCTTTGCGCCTGGAAAGCTTCTGCCAAACCCAAATTGTAGGCCCCGGTGACGGGAAAGGGAAAACCGGACCCCGCTGAAAAACACATTTTCAGCAGGACCTGGTCTGTTCATGCCAGTTACCCGATACGGAAAACTTTCCCTATACAGAAACTTCACATCGCTTGTCTCTGTTCTCACCCAATCCCTGGCTGTCCTTTCCACATGGGATGGCCTAACGGAGAGAGATGCCCCCCCCCCTATCCCCTCAGGATGGCCAGACTGCAAGGAATTGGCAAAAGGAAACTGAGTGAAAACGGCCACCACGTCATTTCCGAGCGTTTTGGCCGCTCTGTGCGGATGAATGTGGTGTCTGACAGATAGTCTTCCAAAGCATTGCCACAAAGCAGTGGGGTCCACCTCTAATCCAGGGAGCTGTTAGAGTATCCTGACGGAAAATAATCTACCACGTGGTCTGGGTCTGCTGGTATCTTTTGCAATCCTGGTCATGAATTGTTTAAAATAAGGACAAACTTTCAGGCAATTTTATTACTATTACTATTATTATTATTATTTTCTTCATGGTAACTGGTGTTCGGCCAGGGCCGAATGGCTAAACCCGAATGCCCGAACGCTCGGTCCCCCCTATAGATGCGTTCGACACACATACAAATTCTTTACCGAATGTGGAAAAAAAAAAGGAGAAAACTACGGTGCAGTCAGGGTTACAGTTTGCAATTGCATTGCGAACTGCGTTTTAGCAGTTTAGACAGGGCCCAAGTTTCAATTGGAGTTCGAACTCGGGCTGGCCTTTTCTAGCAGTCCAGTCAGGCACGTGGCCAGTTTTTTTTTTTTTTTTTTTTTTTCAATATATATCCTAACCCTTAAGCAGCATTGGCCGCGGGCGGGAGCTCGATGGTCCGTTGCGCGCCGGATTTGGGGTCGAAGTTTTAAAGAGGGCCAGTGGATGAAGGTGATCCAGGGCAGGGGAATGTGCAGAAGGGGGCGCGTACAGAAATGTTCGCAGCATGCCATTAAACGAGAGAGAGCGCTCACGGGGCCGGGCACACGGTAGGCGTTGATGGGAATGAATATCTCGAAGCGCGCACCGTTGATAGCATTTCGGCGTTGCTTTGTGCCCAACCCCATTTATGATTTTTCTTTTCGGTTTTCGTGTTTTGTTTTTTTTTTGTTTTGTTTTTTTTTTTGTCATTTTGTTTGCTTAAAGTTATGTTCTTCATGCTTTTTGCTTTTCACGTTTTGTTTTTCCCTTCTCGTGTGTGTTTTTGTTTCCTTTTTTTTCCCTTTTGTTTTTGGTTCTGTTTTGGACAAAAAAAATCTTTGCTTTTTTTTTGTTTTTAGTCAATTTCCATTTTTTTTGCCTG